ACCTCACAAAAATTTTAATTAAAAACAAATCTTTGCCCATCATCCAGCCAGTTGGGGATGGCACTGAAGAGGCAATCTGTTCCTCTTCAAGTCCAGATGCTGGATCTCACTGTGTCCTGGTTTCATGGTGCTCTCTACGTGACCCTTGGGATGTGGTCCCTTGATTTTATTTTCAAATGAGTTAAAAATACAAACATCTGTTACGCTTATTGGAAATGACTTAGATTTGGGATGATGTTCTTCTGACCTGGGTGGGGCCAGCCAAGATCCAGCTTCTGCCGCCTTCGCTAGGATAAATCATTGCATTTTCTCTTTCTTGGTTTTAATGGAAATAAAATGCTCTTTATTTACTGAAATGGTTGTTAAAGAGATGCGTGAATAATAGAGTACTTGACTTACATAGAGGAAGTTGTAATATAAAGCTGGTGTTATTAGCAGTGGTCTGTACCCCTGTTTTGAAGATCCTAGAAGCTTGGCTTTGACAGCTCTCCATGGAACGGGAAGTGATGTTTATTTTAATCACCTGTCCTGAAGGACCTGTAGTGTTTCCTTAATTGCCCTCAGAGAATTTTGGTAAAACATAGAATAGCTTCCCTGTTCTTCTTAAACACTTAGGAAATGCATATAGAAATTAAGAAACCAGAGAGGCAGGGGTAGAGCTAGTTTTAGATTGTATGTAGAATATCTGTTGAGAATACTAATCTAGCATTAATCCTCCTTTCTAGATATTAAGGAGGAATCTTCATGTCACACCCGAGACCTGTGATGTTATTTCTTGACATATGACTGCTGTAGTATTTGAGATTTAAATTCTTGCAGTTATTTTTTTTTTTAGTTACTCCAAGTGGTTTTAGGTATAGATTGATTTTTTTGCACAAATTCAATAATGCCTAACAGCTCATGTTCTAGTTGTTTTCTCATTAATTTACAGCACTGTTCATGTTTTAAAACACAGTGACCTTTGTCTAATCTACAAGCTGTCTGCTGTGACCATTGTTTTTTCTGTTTTTACTTCATCAAAGAGCCTTTTTGTGAAGATGAAATGCTAACGTTGTAAACCCCATGACATTTGCACCAGTTCTTGAAGAGCTGTGGCTAATTAGATGTACAACATTGGAATGGCTGCCTTTACTCTGAATATCAATATAATCAATTACTAGCTGTCACTCCTTTTTTTGTATGTAACATTTCCAAAAAAAATAAAATAAAATAACATTTCCTGCAGTGAAAGGGTGTATGACATCAACTGAATCATAAATTGCAAAGAAAGGCATCAGTCAGAAGGATTGCAGTTATAATTCTTCGTAATTTGGAAGATTCTACCAGTATAACGCCTGTTAAAGAAATGAAGTTAAGATCTAGGGATGGCGCTACACTCAAATCAGGATGTGGAAATACACAAAAGTAAATCATCTTTTGGGTTCTTGCCTCTTCGAAGGGCAGAAAAAGACCCTAAACACCTGCATACTATTACTCGGAGGCCATCACATGCCATCATCAGTCTAGCTCGCTTTCACATTTCCCTTTACTTATTAGAGCAATTCATTAACTATTTGTGTATGGGAAGAGAATTTAAGGAAATGGATGTTTTTACCAAAGGGATTGATTTGACCTGGAGTTGAGGACAGAATCGAGCACCACATCGAAGGTGGTGGTGAGGGTGTGATGGAATTGACTATGTAGACACTGAGTAGGGTTGTGCAGAGAAGGCGGCACAGTAGTAGGAGCAAAGTGAGAATGGGAGATGCAACAAGGTGTGAAGGGGCATCCGTGTTCCTGCCTTTGCAAACAGTGGTTGAGTTTGGTTTTGAAGCCTTGGGTTGGCCTTGTTGGCTGGAAAGCTTAGGAAGACACCAGTAGATGACTTCATTTCAGGAGCCCTGGGAAAGTCTAGTGCCTCCTGAGGCCCTCCACTTCCTGGTTGGTTGATTCCCCAAATTTCTCTAGAAATAATAAGTTTTCCACACCTGTTAAAATGTAAATGTCCCTCTGAAAAAGAACTCATTTAACCACATTTATAGGACCGTGTTCATTTATCCCGCAGGCTTTTCAGAGGGGCATGGGGAAAGTGTTTGAAAACATCCTAACCCAAATGACTGATTCACACTGTATCACCAAAGAAGGACCAGGGGCAGGTTCTTATCAGGTGTTGGGGCCACAGGAAGAGAGCAGATGGGCCAGGGGCAGGAAGTGGGTGCCCCCTGGTTGGGGAAAAGAGCAGGACATCCCTGGTTCCCCCACAGTTCAGCCTAGTGGAGGTCCCATGTATCCTAGTTGCTAGGGGAATGCCATGATGAGGACTCCTGCCTTCCTGGAGTGACTTTACACACTTAAGAATGAGTTGGTTGCTGCCAAGTGCTTAAGTGACCACCTGGTATGAGGGAGTCAGGTGACCCCTCCATGTCAGTGTTTCATCTTCTCAAAGTCACTTCTACAACAGGGCGAAGGATAGCTTAGGCAATCCCTCCGTCTGCATGAGGAGGGGGTGTGGGTGTGTCTGTAGGTGCTCTCCGCTGAGGTGCCCAGGGTGGCAGTGCACACAGTGAGGAACAGACAGCAAACTCACTGAGTTCTTCTTGATCCCCCACCTTAAAACCAAATGATTCCTTAATTGGTTTAAGGTTTATATACCAATGAGTCTGCATGAAGCCCTGTGTTTGTATAGCAGTGATCAGAACTAAAGCACTGAGTCGTGAACACCAAACTAGAAAAATTGAAAACAGTTTGTGGCACCTTGAACTCAACCCAGATAGTCATTCTGCTTTGGTTTTGCCAAATAATCACAAAATGAACCAGTTCAATTTGGAATGTAAGCCAGAAGTTCCAAATCATATCAAAACAGGAACACCAAGAGTGCCTCCAAAAGCAAGGAAATCAAAACTAGTTTTCAGTTGATTCAAATGGCTAATTTGTCAATTTCTCATTATCCTATTGGCTTTTCTTTCTTTCAAGAATTATATGAGCTAGCTCTCCAAAGAATTTAAAATTTGAATTTAAAGCGAACATTGCCACTAGAAATCAAATGAGGCCATTGTACTAGTTTTATAATAAAGTATGCAAGAGCAATGGGTTTTTCTTACTTATAAAAATGTAAAATACTTGTAAAAATTTCAATAAAATTCCTTGAAACAAACAAATGATGTATTTCAATCAAGAGACATCTCTGATCTTAAGAAATTGGTACGTGCCAGCCAAGTTGACGATAAAGCAACTCTCATCTTCTTTTGGTGATGTTTCTCTTGACGTGGACGCCTGTGACAAGACAATAAGTGGAATAGTATAATGGGCTGAATGTTTGCTTCCCTCAAAAATTCATATATTGAAGTCCTAACCCCCCTAATGTGATGGTGTTTGGAAGGTGGCCTTTGGAAGGTGTCTAGGTGTAAATGAGGTCATGTGGGTGGGGCTCTAGTGATGGGACTAGTGCTCCTATAAGAAAAGGGAGTGATATTAGAGTGCTTTCTCTCCCTACCATGTGAGCTCAGTGAGAAAACAGGCATCTGCAAGCCAGGAAGTAGGCTCTTACTGGGGAACCAAGTCAGCTGGCACCTTGACCTTGGACTTCCAGCCTCCAGAAGTAGGAGGAAAATCACACCCAGTCTGCAGTATTTTGTTATGACAGCCTGAGCTGATTAAGACGGGTGGCTTCTGTGCTACTGAGAGGGCTGAGAGTCTGGTCAGGACCAAATGTGCTTTTGGAGAACTTTCAGAACTTTGGATTTTCTTACTTGGGAGTCACATCTCTACCCTCACAGCTGCCCTTGCTTGGACCAAAGAAATTGCTCCTATCCTGAGACATCCCTTGCCTTCCAGAAAAGCTGCCCCTTCCCTCTTCCTCTGGGGTATCTGCATTGTTTAGTGTAACTAACTGTTCTACAACATCTACTTCATTTTTAAGTGTTCTGCTCTAATGGGTCACTTAACAAATGTATACTGAAGACCATGACCATGCAAGATAGAGGTGAGCAATGGATCTAGCTCCTTGGAGGAGTTTATAACCTGTTTGGGATGGTAAACTACATTCACTGGGAAACTCATGCAATGATGTACAACTTAGTGCATGAGGGGTAGTCCCTTGAAATGCTCCTCAGCCTTTCTGGTACCTCCTCTGCCTTGGGGGGCCCTCACTGGATATTTGTTGTTGTTTCCTTCAGTTCAGAATTTCAGGTTCAGCAAGAACTAATCAGCATACTGCCTTATCAACGCATTACAATCAAAGTTCTGAAAAGGAGCTAGCTAGAAGACAAATTGGCTTAATGGGTCGATTCTTTTTTTTTTTTTTCTAATCTGCCTCTTTAGCATCACTGATGCTAATTGTGATTGGAGAGCCAATGGCTTCCCACCACAAGATGTCCTAGTGTCACTGTGGGATTGTTTTGAATCCCATTAATTCATTTTGAGGAGAAATAAATACGAAGTAATTTGAAAACACTTTTTTTCAAATTCCAAGAAAGAAATTGTCTCTTTATAATGACTCTGATATGTTTCTCAGCTTTTCTGAGCTATTCTATTATATCTAATCAACGATTATTTGTATTAGTAAAATAATTTTAATTTTAGTTACTGTAGTTTTAAATGTCTTCACGCTTAGTTTTTCCTCATTTTTCTTCTTCTAATTACTTTTATTAATTATAATAAACTTCAGAGTCTTCCTCTTAAAAAAGAAAACTGCCAGAACGTTTGGCATTTTTTAGAAGTTCAATTCGCGCTGTTATTTAAATGTAAAAATACGTGGGTGAATCTGTAGTACTAAAGACAAATAGATACCCAAGTGACTAAAAATAACTACAAAGACCCTAAAGTCAAAAAACAAAGATCTTAGTACTCACCTGAATCACCCAGCTCATTTGTACGTGAATGTCCGTTTGATTTTACTTGCCTAATTTTTCACAATTTTTCCTACAGCCTAAACGGCTGCAATTCATTCACTTGAGCGAGGGTGCAATGGAACTGACACTTTGAGAAGTACAGGTGGTAGCTCAAGGTCCACGTCCATTAGGGAGGCGTGCCCGCGCCCAGGGGCACTGTGGGTAATGTAGTCCCGCCCCGAGGTATTGTGGGTAGCGTACTTCCGCGCCGCGCTCTGGTGGTTCGGAACGCTGTGGCCATCATTCCACGCTTGTCATCAAGCCTGCCCTTAGCCGCTGACTCTCGGGGACAGAGGGTCGGGAAAGCACGGAGACGGTGAGCGCGAGGGCGGGCGATGTTGGTACGCTCTGGCCGGGGGTTCCTTGAGATCTGTTTTTTTTCCGGGCGGGGTCGAACGGGGGTCTCGGGTCTCGCCTTACTG